CCCCAACCACAGACCAAGAACATCAACAGCAGCCAAAAGGAATTGGGGCTCGATGGAAACAGTTTGTGTTTATAATATAAAAATGTTCATGCGTTTCAAAAAAGCATACATGATTTTTTATAGAATTTTATACAATATAAAAAGTTTGCATAATTTAAAAAATATTTTCTTTCCATTTTAGAAAAATAAAATATTTCCACGTATGCAAATGACATTTTTAGGAAATGTTTATACAATATGGAAAAAGTTTGTGCGGTATTATGTTCTATACCAATCAAGATAATTTACGTGATATAAAAATACGGTGTTTAGAAAATGTTCGTGACATTTATAAAAAAGTATGTACAACATAAAAAAATGTTCAAAAAATTTATTTAAAAAATTTCACATCATGTATTTGAAAAAGATTTAACATGTATAAAAATATTTCCACATGTATATGAAAATGTATAATGTGTTTTGGAAAAAGGTAGACATGTTGGGAAAAAATGAGAAAATAAAAAATCAAAAGGGAAAATATTTTTAAAGAAAACTTGTGAAGAAAAACAAAACAGAAACCTGAAGAAAATCAAAGGAACTGGTGGTGAAACACAAAAATGGAAAAGCAAGGAAAACCTTAGGAATCTAGTGAAGAAACGCAGAAAACAGACCAAAATTGAAAAAAGAAGAATAATTGAATAGAAAATGAAAGGTGTACATCCATTACAAGTCCATTGGCTACGCGCTGTTCGTGAACCAGAGTTAGATAAAAAAAAGGCGAGATATAGTTCTGGCGCTCATTTGACCGAAACCACTAATTAAAAAATACTCTTTACAAATGTCATTTCCACTTTCTCATATTACGAAAAATGACGCATTGCATGCGCGTCACTTGTCACAACATGTAAAACCTACCGCCAAGTGACGTGCCCCAAATCCATAAAAAATGACCCTTGCGAAGGCTTTCCGAGAAGTACTTCTTAATTAGTTGCTCTCAACGCTGCGGGCATGAAATAGGATTAGCCGTCGCCACAACAATTATGTCGCGGGAGTGGGAAACGCACAAAGAGAATGCTGATGTACATCAGGCCCAAATGTAAGGAGAAGGAAGGTGCCCCATGAGAATGTGGTACGGGCTTTCGGCCCAACCCTTTTCTACACTAGGACTAGACTGATCGCCCTCCTCCTGAAGTCTAAACCCTCACTCCCCTTCACCACTGCTCCGGCAGCCGTCGTTCAGCCTTGCCCCTCTCGCCGAACCAAGGAGTACCGGGCGCGGCGGCGGCGGCTGCCGCCCGCAGGGCCAGCATGGCGTTTCTCTTCAACAAATTCCAGGAGGTACGCTTCCCTTCCCTACGCATCTCGCAACCATCTCCGGATCTCGATCTGCTTGGCCCCCGTTGTGCGCGAGAGAACCAACATCGATTAGCCTCAGACACAGGAAATGGTTCTAAAATTCTTTTACGAGGATTTGAGTGAATTCAGGTGTATGTGGGAGGGAGATGATGGTGTGTGTTGAAACACCCTGGAAGTCTTACTGTATAAATGTGCTTATGGCTTGCCTCAATGCTCTAAATCGTGCTTGATTTTCTGTCTAGGTTAGATGTTTTTATTTTGCTATTACATTTTCTATACGACTTCTCTGTTTCTTATGTAATGCCAATTCGAATGAGCAGACAATTGGTACTCTGGGCAGCATTATGGCTTTGTCAGCTGTTCCTGTAATCAATTTACCGGTTCATTTCAGGCAATCAAAACACTTGCTAAGAGTCCAAGCTTTGCTCGAGACCCACGGCATCTTCAGTTTGACGCTGACGTGAATCGTTTATTTCTCTATACCAGGTATATGGATATCTGAACAAATTGCTATGTTCCTGTTCATTTGTTTTTCGCAGATGATGACGCTGTAGTTCTGCTATATGCAAAATTGCAAATATCTAGCATTTTTGGTCTTCATAGGCAATAGAGAATTGAGATCAACATTTGGAATTTAGTTTACTCTACAGGTCTATTAAGGTTGTTATTGGATTCTCACAGTTTAGATGCTACAAGATATTGATCTTATTATTATCCCTGTGATTAGATATTTTGCATATTTTACCGTCGACTGAAGGATCAAGCCTCTAAACCATGTGTTAACATGGTAGTTCTGCTACATGCAAAAATTTAGAACTTAGTTTACTCTACAAGTCTATTATGGTTGTTATTGGATTCTCATAGTTTAGATGTTACAAGGGATTGACCATATTATTATGATATTATCCTTTTGATTATATATTTTGCATATTTTAGTTTTAAAATATTCTGTTACCGCCGATTGGAGGATCAAGCCTCTAAACCATGTGTTTGGTTATTTCTAGTTTCTTTGGAAATGCATACCAAATTTGCTTGCAACACTCGGTATGAAACTATGAATATGATCAGATTGCTACAAGGTCCATTAAAATTGCAAATATCTAGTAGCATTTTTTGTCTTTATATGCAATAGAGAATTGAGATCAACATTTGGAACTTAGTTTACTCTACAGGTCTATTAAGGTCTTTATTGGATTATCATAGTTTAGATGTTACAAGGTATTGATATTATTATTATCCCTGTGATTAGATATTTTGCATATTTTACCACCAACTGAAGGATCAAGCCTTGAAACCATGTGTTTAGTTATTTCTAGTTTCTTTGGAAATGCATTACCAAGTTTTCTTGCAACACTCGGTATGAATATGATTAGATTCCTAAGTTCTTGATTCTTTTCCATGTGCAACTTAGCTATAATCGTTTGGGAAAGCATTCTGAAGAAAAGGACGCCGAGGAGATTATTGAATTGGCTAGCAAAGCATCTGTTACTGACCAGCAGAAACAAGTGCAGCAAAATGTTCATTATCAACTTAAGCATATATGCAAATCAATGGATAGCATTCTTCGTCCTGATACAAAAGATCCATCACAATCTCCTTCTGATGCTTATAATAATTCTCGACGAAGTGGCTTGAGTTTGGCCGTTGGCACAGGAGTTGCAGCTGCAAACAAGCCAGGTAATATGTTTCAGCTAAGTGCATTGCATTGACACATTCACAGTTTTGCACCTGTATCATCCAAATTAGGCTCGTAAGCATATCTTGAGTAGCATGTCTTGCTGCACAATGCATACCTAATAAGTTATTTTAATTTCAGCGACCAAAGATACTTTAGAGCCTAAATATGATGATCAGCAAACATATACACGTGTTTCCATCTCAAATATCTACAATTATGGCTTAGGGTGTTATTAGTTCCAAAGACATTCATGGGCCCTTATGTGATAGGAATAACATTCCCTTTGTTATTTGCAATTTTCTGTGCACTTAACTTATGCCTCAATTTTGTTTACCATAATTTAACATGCTTAGCCAGTATCATACTTTCACGGTTTTTTTGAATTTCTGTGTTAAGCACACATAACTGTATGCACTGATCTTTTGCCGGTTGCTTCATATGCATCATGACCTATGAACTGTTCAACTATAGATGGCAAGCTAACTCCATATCCTGAAATGCTTCTTTTTGTACTGGTTACTGCAATCTCTTTCTTACATTCACATACAGGAATTATGCTGCTACTGTGTTCATAGAGATATAGTTACATACATCAAGTTCTTCATAGTTGTTTTATTCGATGAATCATATGAAGCTATCATCTGATGCATTTGCTCTGCAGTGCAGCTGTTCCTGCTACGCGACCTTTAACTCGAACTGAATTGTCAAACAAATTCAGGGATCAGTTTGGCTACACCCTTGACATCAAGCCGTCACTAATACCTCACAAAGATGCAGGGCAAGGTCTGTTCTTATCTGGAGAAGCTAATGTTGGTGCTGTCCTAGCCATCTACCCTGGAGTTATATACTCACCTGCGTATTATCGATATATCCCTGGATACCCAAGAATCGATGCGTGCAACAGTTATCTTATCACAAGATATGACGGAACAATAATCAACGCGAAACCATGGCATTTAGGTGGTGAAACAAGAGAAATATGGGATGGTTCAGATCCAGTGGATTACAATACAACGCCACCCATAAACCCAGAGAGCAACTCTGACCGGGCATGGAGGATGCTTAACAAGCCCCTGCAGAAGAGTGGCAGTGAAAACTTCGGGGATGTGCTTGAACGGCGAAATCCACTAGCCTTTGGTCATTTCGCGAACCATCCACCGGGAGGATCGACTCCTAATGTCATGATCTGCCCATATGATTTTCCACTGACAGAGAAGGACATGAGAGCATACATCCCGAACATTGCATTTGGTGGTGAAGAGCCGGTTACAATGAAGAGGTTTGGCTCCTTCTGGTTCAAGTCCAGAGCCCCTGGTAAACAGACCGGGGAGTCACCGGTTCTGAGGACGCTTGTGCTAGTGAGTACGAGGTCCGTATGTGACGAAGAGCTCTTCCTGAACTACCGGTACAGCAGCTCAAAGGGGCGGCCAGAGTGGTATACCCCAGTGGATGAAGAAGAGGATAAGAGGAGATGGAGCTAGGTCTGAACAGACCCGCCTGTAATGTTTTGTTCAAATGTTCCTGTGGCTCTTTCTTTCATCAGTAACCGGATTTAAACAGGGCACTGGTGAACTCCAGAAGCCGATTCGGCTATTCTTTCTAGTATGTTTCAGTCTTCCACCGCATAGGTAGTGTCTCTGCTGAACTCTTCTCGCAGGTCTTTTGTGGCAATAAAAAGAACACCAGTTACGTCTCATTTTCTCTGAGGCAGTATCTGTATTATCCATCCCGTTGTTGTAAGGGGATATTTATGAGCTTATCACTCAATCTGTGTCAGTAGTCCGATACGTATTTGCTTTCGGAATATTAACAAGCTATGCCATATTGCTAGCGAACTGCTTCTCGTCTAAATAAATACTACCTCTGTAACTTAATATAAGACGTTTTTTTTACACCTTGTGTCAAAAACGTCTTACATTCTTGAGAGTTCCAATTGGTTGAGTAATCTTGTGATGTCCTGCCATGGAGTAGGTCCAATATATTGAGTGCTCCACGTTTCACGTTTGTCTGAAACTGAGGTGGCTGGTGTTGTGGCCATGCATACATCTGAAGCATTGGAGATGGGCGACTAACAAACAGCCTACGCCCAAGCTGACAGTAGCAGTATCTATAGCAGCGTGTGGACAGACTGTATCGTACTGGATGGCGATATCTTCCGTGCAGTTGGCTTCACTGAAGATCACGCGAGCTGACTGCTGACTGCTGACCAAAGGCCGTCTCTTCTCTTCTCTTGCTCATCTCATCCCTAGAAGACACTGCTGTACGTGCTGCGCCGTATGGGTAGCATGTGTTGTCGTCCTTGGAACACGCATGCCTGGGTAAGTTATCTTGCGGACCTTCTTTGGTAAGATCATATTCTTTGGTAAGATCATAAGAAATCCATGCTATCCCCGGTCAAATCGTCGTCGCTCCGCAAATCCTGAACATTTTTGCGGCTGAATGCTGTATTCTAAGATCTCTCACCATGTGCTCTTCTTGCTCGGAGCTGGGAGAAACCCGCTGAATACTCAACTGATATTTGATGCCGACGAAGCATCCAACAAGGCAGGCGTATAACAGGCAGAGTGGCTATCTTGTCAGTCGAGATGCCAACTCATTTGGGAATGGAACGGATCACGGTATTATTGCGGGAACAAGCAGGCTTTGCTGTCAGCTTGTCACTACGTGCATGTTCGTGTCATGAAAATTAGTGAGCGGATAATGAGACACGTTATACGGTGGGTGGAGTGGACGGACGGTGTTTCCTTTTTGGGAGAAAGCTCCTCTTTCTGTTGATCAATAGTTTAGAAACAAAATTGACGAATAACTACTACTAACATGATATTTTTTCGGCAGAAAAAAAAATGATTTATTTTGCATGATAGCATGGAGCTTTCACGTCATTGCACTGAGAACGAAACGGTTACACAACTCTGTACAAGCACGGCGGGCGCAACCCACCTGATTACAGAATTACAACTCACACGCTGGTCTATGCAAGACGAGTTGTTGTCTTCTCTTCTTCTCATCCCCCATAATGAAAGCGAACCCACCAGTTATCTAATAAGTACTAGTAGGCATTATTGTCTCTCTTCACTCTTTTCTTCCATGTCCTTATAATTGAGTGGAGTATTTGACATCACCCCATCGCATACGTTTGTTTTTTCACCCTTGAAAACCGAAGAATGGTAGTACTACTATATCTTGTCACAGATTTACTGATGTTTCAAGCCATTACATCATCGAGGAATCGAGGATGATCCAACAGGAACATGGAATTCTGCAGTCCCGATCCTTTTGAATGGAAGAGTGTTTCTAGTGCCTGAAACATCTGGCCAGTCCATATCAGTCGCGGAGATTAAAACCCGTAGCGATGCGATGACCAAACCGGAATTTGCTTCGACGCCCGTCCATATCCGGCGACGGCACTGTACCGCTTTTCTTCTCGACAGGCTTGTTATGTAGCCCTTGTAAAGACGGCACCTTCCCCTTCTTCAACGGGTCGTATGTATCCATCACCTTCGTGTACTCCTACTTGTGTCGCATGGAGAAGAGAAGAGAAACAGTACACTGCTGTATTCCACTATATGTTTGTTTCGGTGGCGGTGGTCAAACAGGTACTCCATCATTGGATCGATGGTGACCCTGGCTGGCCTGAGGGGATTAGTTATTTGTGTTCGTGCTTCCAGTGCAGACAAAACGATGGGTTACAGTAATGGCTGGGTCCAAGCTTAGGCTGGTAACGGGCCAAAGGCCGGACAAGTTCTCCGGCCGGCAGACGGCAGTGCTCGCTCCGGCCGGCGGAAGCGTCATCCTGATGTGGAAAAAAGGTCCACAAATTAACTACGCTGTTTTGTGCTGCTGTTCAGCGATATAGTGCGCATGCTAAATCCATCGTCCAGACGGCCAACTTCTATATCTAAATAGCTACTCTTTTCCATAATATAAGAACGTTTTTTATACTATATTAATGTTTAAAAACACTTTTATAACATATTTTTCTTAACATGAATGGAAAAATGCCGACCTTAACATGCACCCATGCATAAGTAAAAACTACCTGAACATGCAAACATGCATGATGATTTCCATTTTATTCATATTTAATAAATATTTGTAATTATAAAGTAATTTCACACAATAAATCATTTGTATTTTCAATTTTAGTTTCATATTATTCCCAATATACATGTTTCATACAACTAAATATTACAAAATATTTCCGCAGCAACGTGTGGGGTTTCATCCAATATTAAAGAAGTTCATCACGCCACTTGAAGCTACGCGGCCTACCTCTTGTGAGTTGTGAGCCTGTGATACATGGGGAAAGATATTCGAGTCATGAAGCAAAGTTGTCCGGACATTTGTGGGCGTTCTGAGGGTCCGTGTTGGAGATTCCGTGGCATTGCATATTTACATTATCATCCAAAGATCTTTCCCCGTGTACGTACACGTCTCCCTGACCGGAGCAATTTCAGCCACCCTACTTTTACGTCGCTAAGCAGCTCAGCCGGCAACTGCAGTCCCCGGCTCCGCCGCCAGGTACGTGTCGTATTGCGTCAATGTCAATGCAGCACCGCTCCATTTCGCCGACTCGGCATCGCCGCAGCTCGTTCGGTCACGGACGCCGGGCGTGGATCAACTTGGTGTCCGCTTTATGTTTGCAGGCATATCTCAATTAGGCGAGCCGTCATATGATGATATAGAGATGGAGTTGATGGAGATGATTCACAACAGAGATAGAGGCGGATGCAACTTCGAGGATGGACAAGTGGATGACTCGCAGCCGACGCTGTATGTCTAGTAGCCAGGCACGTACACTGGGCAACCGGGCACGTACACCCAGCAGCCGGAGCAGGACACGTAAGACGACGAGGGCCTTGATCCGGACGATTGGCCGGCCGATCCAAAGAAAAGGGGTAGAGGAGATTCAACATGCGGGAGAACGAATTGTTATGATGCATGGTTGACCAGTAGCATTGATCGGATTCATGGCACAGAGCAAAAGGGCGCAACATTTGGTCCAATATTCATTCTTGGTTTCATGCGTTAGGGAACGTAGCATGCAATTTCAAAAATTTCCTACGATCACACAAGATCTATCTAGGAGATGCATAGCAACGAGAGGGGGAGAGTGTGTCCATGTACCCTCGTAGACCGAAAGCGGAAGCGTTTGACAACGCGGTTGATGTAGTCGAACTTCTTCTCGTTCCGACCGATCAAGCACCGAACGTACGGCTCCTCCGAGTTCTGCACACGTTCAGCTCGATGACGTCCCTCGAAATCTTGATCCAACAAAGTGTCGAGTGAGAGTTCCGTCAGCACGACGGCGTGGAGACGGTGATGGTGAAGTGATCCGCGCAAGGCTTCACCTAAGCACTATGTGAATATGACCGAAGGGGTAAACTGTGGAGAAGGGCGCTGCACACGCCTAACAATGTTTGTTGTGTGTTCTAGCAGTGCCCCCCAACATGTATATAGGTTGGAGGGGAGGAGATGCAGCCAAGGGGGCGCCCCAAGTAGGAGGAATCCTACTTGGAGTCCTTCCAATTCGGCTTCCCCTTTCCTATTCCTATTCAGAGTAGGAAGGGGGAATCCTATTCCCTTTTACCTTTCCTTCTTCAATTTGGCCAGCCCATATGGGGGGGGGGGGCGTACCAGCCCCTTAGTGGCTGGTGTGTTTCCCCTTTTGGCCCATTAGGCCCATATAGCTCGCCGGGTTGCCCGGAACCCCTTCCAGTGACCCGATATGTATCTGGTACTCCCAGAACACTTTCGGTGTCCGAATACTATCGTCCTATATATGAATATTTACCTCTCGACCATTTCGAGACTTCTCGTAATGTCCGTGATATCATATGAAATTCCGACCAACATTCGGTCACCAAATCACATAACTCATATAATACAAAATCGTCATCGAACGCTAAGCGTGCGGACCCTACGGGTTCGAGAACTATGTAGACATGACCGAGACACCTCTCCGGTCAATAACCAACAGCGGAACCTGGATGCTCATATTGGTTCCTACATATTCTATGAAGATCTTTCTCGGTCAAACTGCAATGACAACATACATTATTCCCTTTGTCATCGGTATGTTACTTGTCCGAGAATCGATCGTCGGTATCTTCATACCTAGTTCAATCTCGTTACCGGCAAGTCTCTTTACTCATTCTGTAATGCATCATCCCGCAACTAACTCATTAGTCACATTGCTTGCAAGGCTTATTATGGTGTGCATTACCGAGAGGGACCAGAGATACCTCTCCGATACTTGGAGTGACCAATCCTAATCTCGATCTATGCCAACCCAAAAAACACCTTCGGAGATACCTGTAGATCATCTTTATAATCACCCGTTACATTGTGACATTTGATAGCACACAAGGTATTCCTCTGGTATTCGGGAGTTGCATAATCTCATAGTCAAAGGAATATGTATAAGTCATGAAAAAAGCAATAGCAATAAAACTTAACGATCAACATGCTAAGCTAACGG